TCCAGGGGGTCTGTCATGGGCCCCTGTACGGCCCTCCCATTGCTGCTGTCTCCATCGCCACACTCTGCCGGTCCCACTTTGTTCCTCACATGCTGGTGGGGTTGGGGGGTTTTCCATTTTGTCAATTATTCGAGGTTGATGGTGGTGCTGGCAGATTAGCGGGCCTCCCCAATGCAGTGATTAGCCAGGCCCCGTATAAAGTCTTGCCAGATGGGGTGGCTCTATACCGCCTTCGCGTTGCTGCCAAAGTCCAGAATCTCCTCATGCTGTAGCTGTGCCAGAGGCGTCCCATAAGCTCTGTTCCATGGGGCACACTTTGCATGATGGGGGGAAACTCCTCCTACGGCTCCTGCCACTACACTGCTGGTGTGTAGAATTTTTTGAATAGGGTGCTGGCAGATTACGGGCCTCCCTTAGCTGCTGCCAGGCCCTAATCTGCATAGGCCCCTATATACCGCCTCCTCATGCTGCTGCCATGGTCTAGAGTCTCTCATGGGTCCCTGTAACGGCCTCCCATTGCTGCCTGTCTCCATCGCCACACTTGCCCATGTGCCACTTTCAGGTCTCCTCACACACTGACTGGTGTGTAGAATTTTTTGACATAGGGTGCTGGCAGATTACGGGCCTCCCATAGCTGCTGCCAGGCCCCTAATCTGCCATGGGCCCCTATATACCGCCTCCTCATGCTGCTGCCAGGTCAGAGTTCAGTCATGGGTCCCTGTACGGCGCCTCCCATTGTGCTGTCTCCATTCGCCACCACTCTGCCATGTGCCACTTTCAGGTCTCCTCACACACTGCTGGTGTGTAGAATTTTTTGGACATAGGGTGCTGGCAGATTATGGGCCTCCCATAGCTGCTGCCAGGCCCTAATCTGCCATGGCCCCTATATACGCCTCCTCATGCTGCTGCCAGCGTCCAGAGTCCATGGGTCCTGTCCGGCTCGTCCTATTGTGTGTCTCCTCGCCCACACCCTGCCCATGCACTTTCAGGTCTCCTCAACACTGCTGGTGTGTGAATTTTTTGCCATAGGGTGCTGGCAGATTACGGGCCTCCCTATAGCTGCTGCCAGGCCCCTAATCTGCCATGGCCCCTATATACCAGCTTCCTCATGTGCTGCCAGGTCCAGCGTCTTCATGGGTCCCTGTACGGCCTCTATTGTGCTGTTCATCGCCACACTCTGCATGTGCGCACTTTCAGGTCTTTTCACACACTGCTGGTGTGTAGAATTTTTTGAATAGGGTGCTGGCAGATTACGGGCCTCCATAGCTGCTGCCAGGCCCTAATCTGCCATAGGCCCCTATATATTCCGCTCCTCATGCTGCTGCCAAGTCCAGAGTCTCTCATGGGTCCCTGTACGGCCTCCCATTGCTGCTGTCTCCATCGCCACACTGCTGCATGTGCACTTTCAGGTCTCCTCACACACTGCTGGTGTGTAGAATTTTTTGACATAGGGTGCTGGCAGATTACGGGCCTCCATAGCTGCTGCCAGGCCCACTAATCTGCCATAGGCCCCTATATACCGCTTCCTCTCATGCTGCTGCCAGGTCCAGAGTCTCTCATGGGTCCCTGTACGGCCTCCCATTGCTGCTGTCTCCATCGCCACACTCTGCCATGTGCCACTTTCAGGTCTCCTCACACACTGTGGTGTGTAGAATTTTTTGACATAGGGTGCTGGCAGATTACGGGCCTCCCATAGCTGCTGCCAGGCCCCTAATCTGCCATGGGCCCTATATACCGCCTCCTCATGCTGCTGCCAGGTCCCCCAGAGTCTGTCATGGGTCCCTGTACGGCCTCCCATTGCTGCTGTCTCCATCGCCACACTCTGCCATGTGCCACTTTCAGGGTCTCCTCACACACTGCTGGTGTGTAGAATTTTTTGACATAGGGTGCTGGCAGATTACGGGCCTCCCATAGCTGCTGCCAGGCCCCTAATCTGCCATAGGCCCCTATATACCGCCTCCTCATGCTGCTGCCAGGTCCTAGAGTCTCTCATGGGTCCTGTACGGCCTCCCATTGCTGCTGTCTCCATCGCCACACTCTGCCATGTGCCACTTTCAGGTCTCCTCACACTGCTGGTGTGTAGAATTTTTTGACATAGGGTGCTGGCAGATTATGGGCCCCATAGCTGCTGCCAGGCCCCTAATCTGCCATGGGCCCCTGTTGTCGCTTTGTTGGCATATTCCGCTCGTTCAGATGCTCCTTCTCCTGCTACTCCTCTTCACGGATTCCGTCCTCACAGTCTTTCTTGGATCCAAATCCGTTTCAAGAGACAACAGTTTGCTGAGCACGCACCAGACGGTGCAGAAACTGAACGTCCTCTGTCCAAGTTAGCTGCTGCCAGGCTCGTAATCTGTCATGCGCCCTGTACTGTACCGCCTCCTCATGCTGCTGCCAGGTCCAGAGTGTGTCATGGGCCCCTCTGTACCGACTCCAAATGCTGCTGCCAGGCCCGTAATCTGTCATGGGCCCCTGTACCAGCCTCCCATGCTGCTGCCACGTCCAGATTGTGTCATGGGTCCATGTACGGCCTCCATTGCTGCTGCCAGGCCTGTAATTGCCATGGGCCCCGCCTACCGACTCCTCATGCTGCTGCCAGGCCCCGTAATCTGCCATGGGCCCCTGTACGCCTCCTCATGCTGCTGCCAGGTCCAGAGTGTGTCATGGGTCCCTGTACGGCCTCCATTGCTGCTGTCTCTATCGCCACACTCTGCCATGTGCCACTTTCAGGTCTCCTCACACTGCTGGTGGTTTCCATTTTTGTCATAGGGTGCTGTATGGCCTCCCATTGCTGCTGCCTCCACCGCCACACTGTGGCTCCACACTCTGGTTTGGCCCGTGACTGGCCAAATGAGTGAAGTGTGCGGTGATTCTAAGATCGACGGCACTCATACTGCATGTCATACTGCCTGACAGTATTATTTCTCTTCCCAGCAGACTCCAAGGGCGCTCATTTTAAATTAAAGGGTTACAAGTGTTCAGCATTAATATTAAGTCTCTCTAGAAGCCTAGAAAACTACCCATGTTTTAAGTTAAATTCATCAGGCGAATAATAATCGATCTCGAATCCAAAATTTTTCTTCTAACAGGATGCGAACCGTATAGAATCAGTCGAACTTCGAATTTTTGTGAATACTTACATCGCTCATGTCTCTAATTAGGATGTGATGTTTACCATACATTCTTATTCGTATTCCAGTTACAGCGTCATTTAAGAATCACTGGTACTGTGAGGCTACAAGAGCTGTGACAAAATCGTGTGCAGTATATACTTATGTGTATAAGCAGACTTACTATATTTAAAACCATACTAACAATGTTCAGAGCCATATGTTAGCCATGCCCATCTATTCCATTAATTTCTGCCTCGGTATAGAATTGCAATTCATCCATATACTCGCAGGCCTATTTCGCCTCTTCTTAGGACAGTTGCAGTTGAGTTGGAGATTCGAGGACCTGTTTTAAAACTAGGTAGTAAATTTGAGTAAAAATAAGAAACAAAATCTACGCTCTAGCCAAGGTAAAAGTTATCAGAACAGATACCTTTAAAAAACATAAGCGCTCTCTAGTGTGCATCGCTGACTACTCGCTTATATAACCCAATAGTGCCCAGGCGCTCAAAACTAAATGCAAATGACAAAAATACATCATAACAGCTGATGAAAATACCTAGTGCCAAACCGTATATTCTAAAATACCGAACTTTAAAGTGCCACTTATAAATCAGAAAATTAGCATGCAATGCGCTTAGTGTCAAAAACTAATATCAAATACCTATAGGAGAAAATAAAACAAAAAACATTATCAACAGTGATATAAAGTATGAGTGTGCCTAACAGCCTTTAAGTCAAAAAATAACGAAAATTGAGGTGCCAAACCCATGACCATAAAAGTACAGTGGCATAAATGAATGAGGATTGCTTCAAGAAAATGGTCCAACTAAGGAAAAAAAATCTATCTTCTAAACTAGTGCTGCACACACAGTGCGGCACACAAATAAAACCACATTAAAGTGTTGAAAAGTCAAGAAGCAATGTCCCCATATTTAGTGAAAAAAATCATATTTATATATTCAGAGCGATGTGCGATTCTGAGTGATGACATGGATAATAACTGGGACTGTGTCCAAAACATTCCCTTCTCAGTGTATGGCTAAAATTTGCCTCCATCACCATACTCCTTAACTGACGGGCGCCGAAGAAGGCTCAAATAGGCATGCAGAGATCTTCCTGGATACCTTAAATTGCTAAAAGGCCAGACCAGCTTCCCTTCTTTATTGGATCTCTCAGCCAGGATATCCACAGAGCCCCCAACGTCCACAGTCAGGGCATGTCCTGGGGAGTAGTAGCATCATCAAACCGGTGGAGCCACAAAGAAACTCTCGAAGTGTACGTATTTAAAATTACTGTGTGCTGTAGTTGCCAAAGAGGAAAAAAAGCGGGTTACACCGCACATTGCAGACATATCTCCCTCCTCACTGTATTGTGTGGTGTGCTACTGGCATTGCGAATGGGGCCCCTCTCGGGTCTGTAAGCTAAGATGGCGGTTTCGTCACGCCTGGAAATGCGTCACCACGCACTACGCGAACTCACACGGATTTCTACGGACCGCGTCACACTATCGCGTTACTCAGGAACGCCAAGTCTACTCCGTCGACTTTCATCTGGGTAATACCCTAACAGAAGGCGTAGTTAATCCCTTTAATATCTTGCGACACCAATATATAATGCCCATTCGCGGAGTGGCCCTCGTCCTCTCATACACATCCACAGATACCTCACGCCAATTTTCCCCGACTACCTTCGTTCACTATTAACAACGGCGGTCATTTGCCCGTCTTCGCCGCCTATCGTCCTGAGCCTGCCAGCATTACTACTTTGACATAAAATCAATTGGGGAGATAACTCCTAGACAGGTGACTATTAGGTATGGGAGGAACAGAATGGCTAAATACTAGCTGAAGTTAATATTGACTACCAGTAAATAATTAGATTCCCATACAAGCATTCACTATAGGTGGAATCTAAACAAACTAGAGGAGATAGACGAATTATATTAAAAAACGAATACATGAATAATCAATCTCATACGCGGTGGCGGGGTAGAAATGTGATTAGAAGATTGTAGACCATAGAAAATAAACAAATAGTAATTAAAAATATTATTGTTAATCAAAATATAGAAGAAGAAATAAATAATATTTATAATAATTCAACAATAAGTATATAACACATATGAAAATTGTATATATTAAAAAACATGATATACAATAAAAAACGTTATCTAGTAAGAAATAATACCATATCAACGCCATAATGCCCCTACGTCATAACAATCGGTACCCAAACATTTACTATATTAATTAAAAAAAAATAAAAAAAATATTTCAATGCTATCAAAACATAGAAATTACTATTAGAATCATAAAACATCGATTAATGATATTGGTAACATATTATCACAATTAAATATATATATTAGTAACAACATCAATAGGATATAGTGTATTAACTATCCATTCACATTTAATCCTCTAATTTCCATTAATGTGCAAACAAGGAAGATAATAATATAAACCTCTCAGTAATCACTAATAAAGCTATTTCTTCTTTTTTTTTTTTTTAAAATCAAACTATACTGTTCTAGCCCTTTGGGGAACTTGTGTATAAATAGAAAAATTTCCAAACCAAAAACTCCGCCTGGCTAAGGGATTTAATTTTTTTAGACCCCCTCCAGGGGTTTTTTACCCCCTTTTCCCAAACCCCCCAAAAATTTTTCATTTTACGGGGGATCTTTATTATGGCAAAGTGCAAAAATTTTCCCGAAACCATGTTTTTGGGAAAAATCCTTTGTTAATATTCGGACGTGCTCCCTAGCCTTTTCCATAGTGGTTCTTAGCCTGCCTATGTATTGGACCCCAAAATTTTCACTTTTCCCAAAACAAAAAAACGACCCCCTTTCCGTTTTGCAAGATATGAAGCCCATTAACTGATATCCTGGCCCGTTGTAGTGGCTATAAAACCCCCATTCCGCTTTTGTTTATTTTTTTTGGGTCCCGCACATTTTTAAAAAAATTTCTACTTGGAAAAAAACCTTTTTTCATTCAGGAAAAAATGTAAAATTTTGCCCTTGGAGGATCCAGAAATTTCCCTTAAACCCCCTTAGCCCTGATCGTAGGGGCTCTTTTATAAATAAATGTAGGGGAGTGCCGGTAGAAATATCCCTTATGACAAGGATCCAAATTAAGGATATCCCATGTTTTTATAAATTATTTTCTTTAATTTAAAATGTATATTCAAAATCTATACAATTGACCGCAAATTTGAGCATAAACACCTATCCTTACCTCCTATCTTCAAGAGAAAGTGATTCTATATCCCATGTTACCCACTTCCGTTTAATTTCTCTCGTTCTATCTCCTCTACCGGGGTAACCTTTGTTCAATGAAATCGTTCCGAACACTCTAGTAGTATACGCGTCTGTTTCAAGAAATAATCTCGTTTCAAAGGCTGACAGTTCCTTAGCGATCGCTCTACCGAATCTGCCACTTTCGGGATATTAAACAAATCATGGTGAGGATAGTGTCAACTCTCCCTTGGGGGATCTATCCAGAGTTGCGGTCAACTTTTTTGTTAAAATAAAAGTTTCTTAGATATAACTAGTCTA